TTGGAGGCTGTCCTGGAACTCGCTCTGTAGACCAGGCTGGCTTCGAACTCACAGAGATCCACTTGCTTCTGCTTCCCAAGTACAGGGATTAAAGGCGTGTGCCACCAACGCCCGGCTGATCTCTGTATCTTGTGTGCATGGTTGTACTGGCCCCCATCTTTGCACCTTGTGGGTGTGGCTATACTTGCCCCTGATTTCTGTATCTTGTGCACATGGTTGTACCTGTCCATTCTTTAGAAACTGCACATCCACCGTCATCTTTCGCAAGACATTTCCAAAGGGGTAGTCAAGGTTCCTGCCGTGGTAAATGTGGCCTTGGGAATCTTGGGCCACAATACTGGTGCAGAATCTGAGCAAAGGGATAATACCAACAAGAATGAAGACAACAGGAACCAAGAATGAGATTTCTGTTTTTGAAACAAATCCTCAAAGGATCAGGTTTTCTTCCTTATTGTTGACATAGATGCTATAATATGCTTTTTTTTTAAAAAAGATTTTATTTTTTTATTATGTATACAACACTCTGCACACCAGAAGAGGGCACCAGATGGCATTATGGATGGTTGTGAGCTACCATGTGGTTGCTGGGAATTGAACTCAGGACCTCTGGAAAAACAGTCGGTGCTCTTAACCTCTGAGCCATCTCTCCAGCCCCGCTATAATATGCTCTTGTACAAGGATATGGAACGACAATTGGCTGGAAGATACAACTGGACACAATGCATCTAGACCCTTCAATTGGCCCACACAAAGCTGCTACAGATGAATCAGATGAGAGTTTAATCTTCCCCACATCCTGTGTGTATGCAAGGCATAGCAAGACCTCTGAACTCTGCTTGCCGGTATGTTACCTATCAACATGTTATTTAAGCTAGTCCAAGTTATCATCTTCATATTATGTAGTTAGGGCAAACACACACACACACACACACACACACACACACACACACACATTAAAAGGAATACCAGAGCTGGGTGATGGTGGTGCACGTCTTTAATCCCAGCATTTGGGAGGCAAAAGCAGGTAGATCTTTGTGAGTTTGAGGCCAGCCTGTTGTACATAGACAGACAGTTTCAGGCCAGACAGAGCAACCTTGCCACAAAATAAATAAATGAGTGAATAAAAAATATCGTTAAAATAAACTTTTCTGTACGACTTATTTTTTTGTGCTGATTCACTGTTACTTTTATAATTAGGAAAAAACCTGTATTACTTCACTGCTTGGTTTGTTGAAAGAAGAAAGCTTGGTGAGGTTTTGACTCCTAAGGTTTCTGATCTTGACCTCAAAGGTAACGTGGTGAATGGTTAAAGTCTACAGGAGTGATCTCAAAGTTGGTATTTTCTGAATGGTGGCAAGAGGACCACCAAGGGGATCACCATTGCCAAGTCTTTTTTGGGCACATCCTGTAACTCACCATCTAGACCAGGCTGGCCTCAGACTCACAGAGATCCTCCTACCCCTGTGTCCCAAATGCCAGGTTTAAAGGTGTGCACCACCATTCCACCACCATTCCTGGTGTGCAAGTCTTTCAATATGACCCCTCCAGCAGAAGCACAGGTGACAAGGACATGCCTCTGCTTTGGGAGAGGTACTATGGGCAGCCTTGGAACTCACCAGCCACCAGAGAGCCAGCAAGTGTTCTCTCTGAGGCTTGGTTTCCACATCACAAACCAGAAGATGCCACCTTCCCCCGCCCCCCCCAGGGCTGTGCTCCTTGGTGGCCTGAGGCTACAAAGATTCAGTAGGACATAGCTCACACAGCCAGGCTTCAGAAGTGAGGGCAGAGCATTTCCAACCTGACCCTAAGGGTGCTTTACAAAGAAAATTAGGCAATTTAAATGCCTTACCCTGAGACACAGAGTAATATTAACTTAGTTCCCTTTGAAAGGCACTTGAGTTTAACAGGCTAGAGTACACAGGAGTCTTCCCCTGAAAGGCAGGCAGTAGATCACATAGGGACTCCGCTCTTCTGGGAAGTTGCCAAAGAATAGTTTGTTATTCCACGAACTTCCTTTCATTCATCATTTTTTTTTAAAAAATCTTATTTTACTTATTCATTTATTTTTTTTAGAGAAACAGGGTTTCTCTGTGTGTCCCTGGCTGTCCTAGAACTAGCTCTGTAGACCAGGCTGGCCTTGAACTCAGAGACCTACCTGCCTTGAGTGCTGGAACTAAAGGTGTGCGCAGCTGCTGCCTGGCTTAAGGCAGCCAGGAGCTATTGGCATCTACTGGCTGTCTATGCAGAGTGGGAAGTAGTAAGTGTGGCACTCGGGGGTCTTCCTCTACTGCTTCTACCTTGTTTTCGTTTGTGTGGGAGAGGGGAGAGTGCATGTACCACAGTGTGCTTCTGAAGTCAGGGGACAAGCAATGGTAGTCAGTTCTCTCCTTCTACCACGTCTCAGGGATTGAACTGAACTCACGCTCACATTGAACCGAACCCCTCCACCCACACTTTGCTTTTTAGACAACAGGTTCTCCCACTAAACTTGAAAAAGCAAGTTCCCATGATCCTCCTCTCTTCTCCCACCCCGGGAAGCACATGAGGCCATACCCAGCCAGGGATCTGAATTCAGGTTCACTCCATCCGCCACAGGCACCCTCACCCACAGAGCCATCGCCCCAACCCTTGAGCAGTTTGGAAAGTGGCATGACCTCTAGATTGATGACAAGATAAAACAAAGTTTTACATAGAGCCGCTGCTTCCCCTGGGAAGTCCACCGGACAGATACATGCTGCTCAGATTTCCCCAGGGACTCAGAGACCTAAGGTGGTTTCCAAACTGCAGTGACTATCTAATTTTATCTCACAACAAACATACAGCCACCCACTCATTGTGGGTGACAGTCTCGGGCAGGTGACAGTCAATTGACTTTAATCCACCCTCCTACGTATGGGGCACTTACGCGGAGGCCTCATAGGCCAGATTGACCAAGATACCGTCGGCCAGGCTGAGGTTGAGGAAGTTGCACATGCCGCGGATCTCATCAGTGAAGGGCTGGGGCAGGAAGCTCTCCACCTTCGACACCACCTCTCCGATCATCTCCAGTACCCACTGGGGGACCCTGTCGCTAGAAACGAAAGTGCACGAAGCTTGTGTCTCCTGCTCAGAGTACGCAGGGTGCAAGTGTGTGTGGACTAAGGGAGAGGGACGTTAAGAGTCTAGATTTTCCCAGATCTGAAGCGCTGCACCATGCTGCTCCATTCCCAGAATCCAAAGCTGAGGGACTGAGCAGGAGCGGTAGTGTAGGGTCATAATCCCAGCTCTCAGGAGGCTGAGGCTGGAGGCTCACAATTAAGGCCAATTTATGCTACACAGCAAGGCTTCAAATTTTTTGCTCCCAACATAGTATTTTTATTAATTATTTGGGAATTTCATATAACGCACCCATATCACACTAGCTTCCTATTCCTCCATGGTCCATCCTCTCTCCCCTGCAACCTGCCCCCCACCGCCAAAACAAAAACAAAAAACCCCACAACCCCCTCCCCCCCCACCAAGTGCAATTTGTGTTGTGTCCATATACTCATCGGATCAGGGTCAAACTCCCAGAAAGACTTCAAAAATAAAAATTATAAGGGCTGATTTAACACCCAATGGTAGAGCACTCGTCTCCATCTCCAGTGAGTGCCAAGCACCCTGGAGAGAAAGGACGGCAGGCTGGTCCGGGATGGGCAGGCTAGTGGGCTGCATGCCCTACTCTGCAGTTTAGCCGACTGAGTGACACCTTGTGCATCCCCCCTGACCCGGAAAACGTCTGGAAGACGCGCCTGCCACCAGAGATCCCGAACTTGAGAGCCTAACCGGCCTTGTTGTGTCAGCCACCCTCTGGGCGCTGCATGGAGCAGAGGGAAGGGCACCGGTGCAGCACCGAGGGGAGGGGCAGAGTCTGGCTGCAAGTTCACAGGACCTGTCCCGCGCTCACCCGATGACCTCCGCCACCGCGGCGCGCACAAAGTCCGGGTCGTAGTGCTGCAGCATCGGCAGCCAGCGCTGCTCCGGGGCCGCGTCCATACTGACGTTGAAGAGTGGCGGAGCTCCGGGGACGCCAGTCGACAGCCAGGGCCCCGGCAGCAGCAGCAGAGCCAGTGCCAGGTGTGCCCCATGGCCCGCAGCTCCGGTGGCTCGGTTACCCATGGCTCGGACTCCTGAGGCCACCACCCCACCACCGAGCCTTTACGGGTCCGGAAAGTGAAGGGGGAGGCATCGGGGCGGTGCTAGCACTGAAGGCGGAGCCTGACCTACGTCGCCCCACCCGTGGCCAGGAACTCAAGCAGTGACAGCCGCCTCCTGCACCGTCAGGATTAAAACCGCTTCTCACTCACAATTTGAGGCGGCTTCACACCTCTGTGGTCCAGGGCGTTAAAGCCCTACTGTAATAGAAAGGCATCGTTGTCTCCTTAGTCTGCATTTGCTCATTTTAAAACTCTCTGAAGGGCAGAACTTCGGTTCAAAACCCCCAAGAAAAAGCTAATCATTTAAACATCTGTGTGCTGTTAATTTTGCTGATTCCTATTTATCAACACAAGCCAAATGACATCTCCTAATTAACTCACATTTTACTGGTGACAGACCTTGGAGGGAAGTCACCTGCCCGGGGCCACAGGCTGAGGAGCCTTTGCCTTCCTCTGTTGAGTTGTTTGAATCCAAAGCCTACGTTAGCAAATCACCAACCTGAAGCCCCCTCGATTCCTCTAGTGTCCCCAATATCAGAGAGACTGAATTTGTAAAGTCACCTTGGTAAGACCGGAGCATTCTTATGAATAGCAGAGTTGCCTATAATCAAATAGCCAAATGTTACAAGAAACTTGGGAATTCATTTTGTTTGGGTGTTCCCATCCCTCTACCATAAGAAAAAAAAAGGAATCTTTATTTTTATTATTTTATGTATGTGTGTGTTTTGCCTGCCTGTATTTCTGTGCACCTTATGTGTGCCTAGTGCCCTAGGAGGCCAGATGACCTAGGTGACCTCTGAGCCATTTCTCCATCCACTACTGCCATCCTCTCTTAGCCCTGCCCTCCAGTAGAAGCCATCACTCGCTACCTCTGATTTGTCTACTTTTATGGCCTGTATGCCACTAAGCTCAAGTACCCTTTGTTTCCCTAAGTCCTAGTTCTTTGTTACGAAGCAAACGCCCATCCGTGCATGATAGCAAGCAGTTAGTCACAGGGAGCCATTCCTTAGCTACACATGCAAGTCATGGCTCTTCTGTGTTGATAAATAATGCACATCTCAGGTCTGGTAAGTCCTGGGATCAAGTTTCTAGAGGGGCGTTCCCTGGTTCAGGGACCCACAACCACATCAGGACCTGTCCCCAGCAATCACTGGGTGGGGCCAAAATGCTTCCCTCAAAGCAGAAATATGTTCCTGACAGAGAGATGAAGCAGCAACTTGCAAGAGAAGTGAGAATGTTATCGGAGACTAGAGGTAAAGGCTCCTTTGTCATGTAGGTGGGATGGCAATGGCACTGTTCTTTGCAGTACTGCAGAGAGAATACTGTTCCCGAGTGTCTTAGCTGGGTTTACAATCGCTGTGATTAAACATCATGGCCAAAAGCAAATTGGGGAGGAAATGGTTTATTTGGTTTACACTTCCATATCATAGTCCATCAGTGAAGGAAGTCAGGACAGGAACTCAAAACAGGGCAGGAACCTGGAGGCAGGAGCAGATGCAGAGGCCATGGAGGGGTGCTGTTTACTGGCTTGTTCCTCATGGTTTGCTCAGCCTGCTTTCTTGTAGAACCCCGGACTACCAGCCAGGGATGGCGCCACCTATAAAGGGCTGGGCTATAGACTGTCCTGACAGCCCAGTCCCAAGCTCAGGCTTGTTACTCTTACCCTTAAATTAGCCCATATTTCTTATTTACCCTCTGCCATGTGGCTCATGGCTTATTATCTCATTTTCTACAGGCAGGTCCTGCTCCCTCGGTGGCTGGCTGGTGTCTCCTATGACTCCACCTTCTTCCTAGAGTCCTCTGTTAATAGCTGTCTCGCCTATACCTCTTGCATGGCTACCGGCCTGTCAGCTTTTTATTAACCAATGAGAATAATGGCATATTCACAGGTACAGGATTGTTTGACAGCACTGGGCCCTCCAGCATCAATCACTAATTAAGAAAATGCCCTAAGGGCTTGCCTACAGCCCATATTATGGAGGCATTTTCTCATCTGAGGTTCTCTCCTTTCCGATGACTCTAGTTTGTGTCAGCTGACATAAAACTAGCCAGCACATCAAGGAACTAGGTACTCTTGCTAAAGTTGCCACCTGTTTTCTTCTTGCTCATAGTAAAATGTGTGAGGAGAAAGAAACCCTAGCAAGAGTAGATTTGGGAACGGTTTTGAAAATTTTCAGGTCCAATCTTTATGCAGAAACCTGGCTTATTACAGATATGCCATGTCCTACCTGTGGAGATATTTGCACTGTAACTGACAAAAAGTAGCATCTAGGGGCTAAAGATGCTTGCTGCTGTATCCTGAGGACCAGGGGTTGAATCTCAGCAACTGTGTTGCACAGCTCATGAAGGCCTGTAACTACAGCCTCAAAGGGTCTAACATCTTCTTTTGGCCTCCTGAGGCACATCCACACATGTGAGCATATATTCTCACACACACATGAACAAAAACACATCTTCAAAAAGAGAGTGTAAAGCAATCAGAAACAAAGAAAAGGATTAAAAGCTCTAAAAAGAAAACCAAACTGAATAACAAAAAAGTGTGGTTATCTCCCCTCCCCAGTACCCACTGAACCACATATTACAGCATCCAATCACTTCACAGGTAAACATCTACAGTTTCGAAGTCTAGTGATACTGTGTTGATATGGCTGCAGTAAACTAGGAATTCAGGCTTGTGAGTGGGGCTACATCGAAATTTAACATTATCTAATGTAAAGGAACCACAGACTTTCCAACCTCGCAATTCCATTTCTAGCAAAGACACTTGTCCATTATCTAGTTTGAATCAAGAAAAAAAGAAAACTCTAAGAACATGTACTCTAGATGCATTCAGATATGTTGATTACTCTGTAGAGGGCATGAGGTCTTTTTGCTCACAGATAAGCACCAAGGGAACCAGGGATGTAAAGCACACATGCTTGTCTTTTCAACAGAAGGGATGTACACCCATTTTCACCCAGAAGTCTGGGAGAGGATAGAGTTGATAGCCTGGTGACCTTTGCTACCTGTAGGGCCAGGCCACATCCAAATTCCCCAGATTGTTATGTGTATCCCAGACTTTCCCTCCCTAGACCTTTAGCTTTGTTTCTCAGTCAATAGAACGTAATCTTAGGGGAGATGTCACATGTACTTTGTAACATAGTGACCTACAATATCTGTATGACCAAGTCTACACCTGCTCCTCCCCCAGGCCTTTAAGGTGCCTTAAGCTTTATTGTGCATATGGGATTATGATAGTTGTCACCATCAAAGTTTGGGTTTTTTTTTGTTTTTCCAAAATTGCACTGTACTTAAATGCCTAAAGAACAAACTGTCCCTGTCAGGACTCTCGAAGTTTGAACCAGTCCTGGCTGCTGAGTCGTGCTGAACCCGATTCCTTCTTGCCTCATGCAGACAGTTTCTCTGTGTATCATTTCTCTGTGGACCAGACTTGGCCGGGTTGCCCACAAAGTTCTCAACAGCAGAAACATGTACCTGCTTTTTGTCAGGAAAATAATAAATTATGAATGGTTGACTAGAGAATGCAACATTTGAGGAAATAAAAAATGCATTTATGCAGAATCTAATGCTGGGCCTAGGGAAGATGGCCCAGTTGGAAAAGTACCTGCTGCATAAGCATGAAGACCCAAATTTAGATCCCGGTAGCCACATAAAAAGCCGGGCCTGTGATCCCAGTGCCAGGGAGGCAGAGACCAGGGATCCCAGGCCTGTCTGCCCCAGTTGCCTCTTGCTGAGATGGAACTAAACACACACCCTCCTTATTAAATCAGTGAGAGAGCAACCCCATGTCAGAAAGACATGGAAAGAGGAAGACATCTGTCAGCCTCTAGCCTCTGTTTGCACACATCCCACATAAAACACACATGTAAGCTAATGCTGAGTTACAGTCAGCACTTTATGTAAATTAAGATACTAAATAACACTGTGCTGAACACATATACACAGGCTACAGGAATGGCAGGCATCAACCCTGAGGTTAGCGGCTCTCTTGAGGGAGGAGTCATGGTGAGAACATCATTTCCACTCTCATACTCTTCTCCTTATAGTTAATTTCTTCCCAATGGCCTGCTCCTTCTGCCTGAGCCCTGTGTACAGGGATTACAGCCCCATGTACTGGGATTACAGGTGTGTAGCATGATGCCAGTTTCCATGCCTCCATTGTTTAATAAAACAACACAACATGTAACACTGAGTTGGTAAATGTTTCATTGTGCTCTATTTAAAGTCACAGTTATAAAATGTTTTTATTTTTCAAAAAGAGGAAGGTTCAAGTGTCCTTGAAACAGGAAGTTCTGAGGAGGATTGTCTCCTCCTGACCTGCTTCCCGAGTGATTCCTCTAACTCCTGCTTTTGCAACCTTTCCCAGAGAATGGTGGCTCCCCATCTTGCCCTTCAGCTTTGGTCCAATTTCCCTCTCAGGCCCCCTGTGATGCTGATTTAGGGACAGACTGCTCCACTGCCTCTGGCTGAGGTCAAACTAGTGCTGTTCCTGGTTTTTCAAAGGATGCTTTGTATAATGTAAATTACCAGAGTGTCTAAAACAGAGACAGAAAGGCCAGTCAGACATATTCTTCCCACTCATACCCAGCAACCATTTTCACATGGCTGTTTTAAAACCAAATACCATTACTGTATGTGCCTCAAGGGAATACTGTCATCTAAAGAGTAACATTCTTTTCTATCAGGACTCTGTTTGCATTCAAAGAACTCTCTTACATGTTTGTACAAATAAAAAAAAAATCACGTGTCTACTCTTGCACATTAAAAAATTAAAATAAAAAAATTAAAATTAAGATATTGCTTAAGTGTCTTTACACTAGGGGTTAATGTTTCCAAACTGCCATCTGACTTGATGTAGTTCCCCCGCCCCCACACTGCCCTCTGTGCCATTATGAGCTTTGAGGCTGGCTCAGTGGGTAAAGCATTTGCTGCTTAAGGATAAGAACCTGAGTTTAAATCTCCAGCAATTCCCTCTCCCCGAAACATGGTGGCTCATGTCTGTATTCCCAGAGCTGGGGTGGCAGGTGAGAGAGAGACAGACAGATTACAGGGGCCCACTAGCTGGCCAGCCTCGCCAACCAGTGAGAGACTCTCAATGACCCCAGCTGTGTACATATATACACAGAACCTCGGCGAGTCTGCTCTGGAGACAGGGCCATGCAGCCTGGAACTTGCTTCACAGACCAAGCAGGCTTTGGATTTGCAGCAGTGTGCTCCAGAGCCTTCTATTACTGGGTGTGCACCACTGTGTCTGGCAAGCTACAGTACCCAAGAGTTCACTCAGACGCAGGCTCTAAGCTGTTGCATGTTTCCAGCCAAGATGGATATTGTGATGGGGGCTGTAATGTTCACTGAGCTTAAGTGTCCTCAGTGCTGTAACACTTTTGAGATGGGGTCCCGTGTATCCTGGGCAACCCTGAGGCTTGCTGTGAGGTGTTGACACCATAGGCGTGCGCAACCATACCTGGCCTATGTGGTACGGGAGTTGAAACCAGGGCTTTACAAATGCTACACAAGCACTTTACTGACTGAACTACATTATATACCACTTCCGGTACTTGTACTTTTCTGTTATGACAATAGCTTATAATATTTTATCATTTTTTTTCCTGTATTTTCTTACCAGCTACTAAGCCCCATTCCCCAAGGTTGGATGCTAGTGCCTGTGTGGTCTTAAAGGTGACAACTGGAGATTTGAGACCAAGTCTGTGAATGTGCAAGCAAGGACAATATGCTAAGACTGTCACAAGGATGCAGGAACTTAAAACACATTCCAATTTCAGAGATTAATATAAAAAAAGCCTTAATATCACTTTTATGTATTATATGCTGACTTAAAAATAGATTAACTCCAGGGGATAGTGGTGCATGCCTTGAATCTTAGCACTTGGGAAGCCTAGGCAGGAGCTTACCTCTGAGTCTGAGGCTAGCCTGGTCTACAAAGTGAGTTCCAGGACAGTCAGGACTGCACAGAAAAACCCTGTCTTGAAAAACTAAAAACTAAACAAACAAACAGCTTTACTTTTATCACATTACCAGTGTTTACATCTCCTGTGTATGTATGTTTTGAGACATACTCTCCATCCCTTCAACCTCAGCCTCATGAGTACTGGGATTACAGGTGGGCACACATCCAGCTTGTTCCTTGGCTTAAAAAACAATTGCAATTGTTTCTTAATGGTTTAACTGTGCTGGCGTGGGTGTGAAGTGTCCCCACAGACTTATTAGCAGGAGTTGAGAGCCTTTAGGAGCTGGGGAATGACCAGAGGAAGCAAGCTTCAGGCTCGCTTTTCTTCTGCCTTCCGGTCTTCAGAAATGAGATGTCTCGGCCATACACTGGTACCCATGACCTTCCCTCCACAAAGGTTGAGTCCTTCAAACTGGGAATCAAAATGAATCCTTCCTAAGTTGCTTCTTGCGGGATATTTGGTAAGACCAAGGAGAAAGTGGCCAGTATTCCACCTAACTACAGTATATTTTGCCTGTATTTTAGAGATGTTGGATGTATTGTTATTTAGTGTTGCATTCCCTGCAGTGAAATGACCATAAATTCATGTTTTCATATAAAAGCTCAAAGATAAAAATGCAGCTCTTGCCATATTCTATTATTTTGACAATGTGGATCTCAAAGTAGGTTTTAGCTAAAGCTTATGATTTTTTTTACTCTGTGCAAACTCTAAGCCATTTTTCCACTTAAGAACCATGTTAGGAAGCTGGGCATTGATGGCACACGCCTTTAATCCCAGCACTTGGGAGGCAGGGGCAGGCGGATCTCTGTGAGTTCGAGACCAACCTGGTCTACAAGAGCTAGTTTCAGGACAGCCTCCAAAGCCACAGAGAAACCCTGTCTCGAAAAACCAAAAAGAAGCATGTTAGGGGCTGGGGAGATGGCTCAGAGGTTAAGAACACTGACTGGTCTTCCAAAGGTCCTGAGTTCACTCCCAGCAACCACATGGTGGCTCACAACCATCCATAATGAGATCTGGTGGCCTCTTCTGGCCTGCAGGGACACATGCAGACAGAACATTGTATACATAATAAATCTTAAAAAAAAAAAAAAAAGAACCATGTTAATGGTACTTTAAAAATAGATTAATTACGGGGGATGGCCTTCTGTATATATGTTTCTCTTATTGGTTGATGAAAACACTGTTTGGCCAATAGGCAGGAAGATAGGCGGGACTAGGAGACGAGAATTCTGGGAGAGGTAGGCAGAGAAGTGCCTTGAGAGGGAGCCATACTGCCCAAGGAGTAACATGCCGGATTACCGGTAAACCACAGCCTCATGGCAATACATAGATTAAGAGAAATGGATTAATAATTAAGACAGAGCTAGCCAATAAGAAGACCTAGCCATTGGCCAGCAGTTTTTATAATGAATATAGCGTATCTGTGTGCTTATTAGGGGATGAAGAGGCAGCAGGACCAAGGTAGGACAAGAGAAACTTTCAGCAACAGACTAATTTATTTTCTTACATGTATGGATATTTTGTCTGCATGTATGTGTGTGCACCATGTGCGTGCCTGGTGCCCTCATGTTGGGCATCAGACCCCTGGAGTTACAGACAGCTGTAAGCCACCGCATGGGTGCTGGGAGTCAAACACAGATCATCTGCAAAAACACTGGGTGCTATAAACCATTGGGCCACCTCTCCAGCCCCTGCTAATGGCACTTTTGACAACATTGTGTATTAATTACTGGCAGGACTCAGAGAGGGTCCTAGAGGATGTTTCTAGACCCCAGGAAGCCAGGGAAAAGATAAGGAAGAGGAGACAAACACCTTTGGATGCTTTGAAATCACTTATGCCTTGGGTTTTAAGGTGCATCTCCAGGCCTGGAGTGTAGCTCAGTGGTAGATCATTTGTTGCACATGCACCAGGGTCCTCAGTTTCATGCCAGCACCCTTGGGGCGGGGTGTGGCAGGGGACACAGCCAGAGGGGCATGACGACAACAAGGGACCTCCTTCTAATTATAGAGAAATTTCACAAGGATGATTCTCCACAAACCTTTATTTCCTATCTCATTTTGTTGTTGTTTGTTTCTTACACAATGACATAAGTAATAACATACACCATGAAAGACTCAGAAAGAAGGAAAACACATCACATCCCAACAACACCCCGAATATCTGGCACATTTTCTGTATGTTTTTTGTAATCTCCCACATGTATACTGGATTATACTACAAATACTTCTCAACTTTAACCACTTAGACTGATAAACACACACAAACAGAATCTGCAAGAGAAAGTAACACAGAGAACCAATGCAAACCAATGAGCACGCTATGTAACTGCAGCAGAAGCAGCTGTGGCCTCTGCATCTTTACAGAGGTGAAAAGGACCAGGCAAGCGGTTCCCCCGGCAGCCTGGACCTGACCTAGAGTTCCAGGTGCTGCCAACTTCCTTCTTGGAGTCCAGATCTCTGCATTCTTCTTTGTTTCATACCCCCCTTCCCCAGACAGGGTTTTGCTACATTGCTAGCCCAGATTGGCCTCAAACTCACAGCAACTTCCTGCCCTGCCTCATTCTCCCAAGTGCTGGGATTTTAGGTGATGTCACCATGCCTGGCTAAACCTTCTTAAATCTCTGAAAATACACTTCAACTGAAGGAACTGGCTTCCCTTTCGGCAGCCATAACAGCTTGCCATAAACCTGCCTTGGTCACTTAGAGGTCAGATGCCTGTCTTGTGACAAGGAACCAATCAGAAGTTAGCTGGTGGCGCTATGCTTTACGACCCTGGGTGTGCTTTACGGACAAGCGCACAACAATGACGTAGAGAGCATAGCAACCACCCTGGGAGGGCCTATGGGCCATAACAACCAGTTGACCAATCAACACAGGGCAAGCCCTCCAAGCCTGGAAGCACACCAATCGTGA